AAATAATCAAAGTTTACTAATAACCTTCAGAAAGTCTTAAAAATATAGAAAATATGATTGTCTAACATATTCTCTATGAAAGATTTTTATGAAATACTTCTAACTAAAAATTAAGTTCTACCAAATACTTTTAAACAATCTGAATGATGTCGAAATATTATCAACTTTTGAATTATGATTATCTAACAAATTCTTTATGAAAAGATTTGGATGATACGTTATATAATTGGGACTTAAATTCTATGGAGATAGAGCTGACATGTCAATAACAATATCCCAGCCTACTTATATTTATGAGATATCAGCCAAGTTTAACTTGCAAGATCGAAAGAATAGACTTATTCTTTGGACATAAAGTTACTCTTTCTAAGAGAATGTCACCTCATACATATGAGGAGTCGGAAAGAATGAAGTAATATAGTAGTCATACGTACGTAATGTTGTATACTAGGCTAGATATTGCTCAAGAAGTAAGTAGACTTAGTAGATCACAGTCCAATCCTAGAAAGGAATATTAGACTGTAGCTAAGCATATTCTTAAATATCCTAATTGAACAAAATATTATTATTTAGTATTTGTTGGTGATCCTTTAAGCATTGTAGGATACACTGATTTCGATTTTTAGTTGGATCCTAACGGTAGTAAATCTACATCAGGGTTTGCCCTTACCTTAATGGATTTATTAGTTGAAGGAGTTGTAAGCAAAAAATTACAACCGATTCTAATACTGAAACAAAATATACTATAGCTTGAGAAGCAGCAAAAGAAGTAGTCAGTATTAGCAAATTGGTGTAAGAGTTAGTTGTTGTTCCTACTATCTAATCTCCTATCATTTTTCATTGTGATAACAGTGAGGTAATTGTACAAGCTAGAGAGCCTAGGGCTCATCATAGATCAAAGCATATCGAAAAAGGTATCACTTGGTAAGAAAAATTATCAAGAGAGGAAATAGATATTACCATATTTACTTCTACTAATAATGTGGAAAATCTATTGATAAGATGAGTTTGAAATTTGTATTGGATTGGCCTTGTGCACAAGTGAGAGACTAAAAGATGTATGTCCTATGACAAGATGGGTTTGAAATTTGTATTGCATTGGCCTTGTGCACAAGTGAGAGACTAAAAGATGTATGCTCTATAAAACTAATAAATAGATTAAATAAGAGTTACATGCATATTTACACGAAAACCCTTAAAATATGAATTTTTTTTAACAACCTCCTGAATAATATGAAATTACAAGCAAAACCATGAAATTTGAAAGTTACTGACAATCTCCTCACAAAAAATTTAGAGATTGCAAAAATAACCCTAAATTATGAGAATTTTGAATAGTCCCCTAAACAACTTAAATTATAGACAACACCCCAAAAGTTAAAAAAATGCAAAAAATCCCCATGAAAAATCTAAAAATAATAAAAACACCTCAAAATCTAAAAAATGTAAACAAACATCTTGAAAATCAGAATATTTTTAAACAGTTCTATGAATAATATGTAATTGTACAACACCCTAAAAATTTAAAAATTACAAATAGACTTCTAAAAAAATAAATTGCAAAAAATGCCTTGAAAAAGTGAAAATAAAAAACATATTAAAAGCTAAAATCTTCAATTAGCACTTTGAACAATCAAAAATTATAAACTACTATTGAATATTCAAAAAAATATCAATAACCGCTGAAGAGTCCTTAAAACACAAAAAGATGTACCAAAATTTGGAAATTATAATAAACACTTTAAAAATCTAAAAATTTCAATTCACCCCTTGCATAATCTTAAATTACAAAGGCCCCAAAAAGTTTGATAATAAAGAGAACCCCCATAAAAATATTAAAATTTCAAATGGCCTTTTGAAGAAAATAAAAATTACAAACAATTTCTTAAAAATAAAAAATTGTAAGCAAGCTCTTAAAAAAAACCAAACAATCACCTCAAACTCCACAAGTACCAAAATAACCTTAGAGTTAAAATTCTATAATTAAATTTTTTAAAGATTCTCAAACAATAGATCAAAATTAATTACAAAACTTCAAATCCTAACAATTTCTTAAATCCAAACATAAACTTAGTGTAGTTTAAAAAAACATATGACATTTGAAGAATTTTGAGCAAGACCCTCCAAACATCATTCTCTTTGAACAAAATATGAAAAATACACAGTTTTAATGGAAGGTTTTTTTTGGGTGAGTTATATGTTCACATTATCTCTTTGAGATCATAGATTGTTATGCATAAACTATGTATGCACCTGCCTTTTATTTAGACACTGTTTTGTATTTAAAAAGCATGATTTTTGCCGCAAGGAAACAATATCTTTTAAAGTTTGAAAACATAACTAGAGAGGGCTTTGATACCTTATATTTTATTAGTAGATGTCGCCTTTTCATAATACAGTTGTTGTCATTTAACATAAAGAATGTGATATAGCAGTTTTGCATGAAGTTGGTTATTGGGTAGAAGTGTTTTACCCATATTGAAATTCATATTAGTTTTGTCATTAATAATCAGTGACATCTTGATATATAATTTTATTATTTTTAAACTGATGTTTTGGGTCATGTAACTCATCTTCTTTATTAGTCTCATGTGAATTTTGTCAAATATGAATTTAATATGGATTTCTGGTCACGTTAGCCATTATGCACTTGCTATATGTCATAAAAGTTCTTTCATATGTTTCTTAGATTCAAGTTTTAAATTATAATTTGAATTTTTGATATGTTTATTAGATCAAAGTTCTAAAAGTTATAAGGCATAACTAAATTCAATGCATTATCAAATTTAATATTAGTCTGCACAATTTTAACTTTATGTTAGCATTATTGAAGAAGAGGTTTAAAATATGATCTTATTTCATGCAATAAATTATATGGTAACTATTAACTATTTTACAAATGAGTTATAGTAAAGAAATAGAAAAACTAAAATGAAATAATCAAATTATTTGATTACACGTGCACCTATCTAGAATTGTTATAAAGTCTAGAAAAACATCAGTTTCAAAATGGGCCCCGTTTACTAGTGAGGTGTATATGTGGGCTTCGTTGAAACATGTGCTTGTGCAAACCGGCGACAAGCGTGCTAACAACCCTGTCGGTGTGCTAACTCCCTATGATTTTTCTTTCATGGTGAGCTTGCTCGTGATCCTCAAAGACGGCAGGGAGGATGTACAATGTCCATCGTGCCCTCGTGCTGTCACTTTCTGATGTGAGCTTGCCAAAAGAATTTGGTTTTTTCCCCCTTTAGAAAAACGCCTTTAGAATATGGTTATTTTATAGAAAATATTTTGATTGTCAATTTATATGTAAATTATATTTAAATTATTTTTTATTGCAAGCAACTAGATGGACTCACTTTTAAGTTACCTGTTTTTCTACAGAATGAGTCTATATTAAATGTGATTTACAGAATAAGCTCTAATAGTCATGATGATCTCATGAAACAATTATCTGAGTGAAATGATCTTTAGATACAAAGAAATAAATGTTCTTCTCCAAGAGAGATATTATTATTATTATTATTAATTTCTTACAGTCAAGCTAAGTCTAAGGTGAATAATTTGTTGAAGAATTGTGAATTTGTGAACTTACCAGATCCATATTGACGCGATCATACTAGTGTGATTTGATGGAAGGTGGAAACCAAAGGAAAATTCTAATTAAGCTATTGGCTTGTAACTGTCATCTTCTTGTTGGTTGAAAAACTTCAAATTGTAATAAAGTATCTCATTTCAAACGACTTTGTTAAAAACTATCATACATACGAATTATTGCCAGTAGGGGTGCAAAAAATTATGTGTATCCATTAGGATATATATGACTATTAAAATCTTTAACCGATAGTATATAGTTATATATACATTACGCAGTGAAATATCTAGATCCACATCCATCTAAGATATATGAATATATGTTGATCATATAGTTACAATTGTTTCAATCCTTAAATTAACATACTTGAGACCAACTTTGATGATTAAGAAATCTATTCTTAGCTTTTTAGATACGCTAAATACCCATATTGGTATTTTAATTCTACCCCATTTACCAATAATGTATTTTAATTAGGCAAACCTGCTTTAAGGCATTTTAATTGATTCAACTTACCAACAATGCCATTTTTCTCGTCGGCGACCAGTTTTCCGGCGAGAACTCGTCACGTGCGTGACACGTGATGACTTAAACTAATTTTTAGCTGCTGATGTGGCATGGATCTGTCCTATTTAGGGTGAATTGAGATTTTTAGAGGGTTAATTCCCGCCTTTAAACACTATCACGTCAGAAAATTCGTGCCACATCAGCAGCTAAAAAACAGTTTAAGTCATCACGTGCCACGCACGTGACGAGCTCTCGCCGAAAAACTGCTTGCCGACGAGAAAAATGACCTTGTTGGTAAGTTGAATCAATTAAAATGTCTTAAAACAGATTTGCCTAATTAAAATACCTTCTTGGTAAATAAGATGGAATTAAAATACCAATATGGGTATTTAGCCTTTTTAGATATGACAAACATATCAGTGAACATTTTTGTATCATATGAACTGTATATTTTTTTAATATTGTCTAGTTTTCTCATATCTGTTTTGCATTCACATGTATATCTCAATATATATCTGTATGTATATCAGTTTCCATAATTAATTCTAGCAGATATGGACATTAGTTTTTCTTATCCATACATAAAAACATCTAGCATACTAAGAATGTACATTAATAATTCCGTGTAAAAACAACTCAACCTGACACGATATACGCAACTTGGACTATACAATTTCAGAAATCCCATTCACTTTAACTAGTCTGGAATATTACCATTTTCCAATAATTAAAGTAATTGAGAAAATCCAGTTAGTTGCAAGAAAAAATAAAATAAAAAAGCAAAAGGGCAGTTGTGGTATCATGGCGGGTTACTGCTCTCCAGCTTCAGTTTACAGTTCATCGGTCTCTGGTATTTTTCATGTTCACATATAAAATCCAGTTAATTAACAAGCCAATCCAATTCACCCATAAAAACTCAAATCTTCATTAAAACTCAAATCTTCATTAGATACGACCATCTCTCTCTCTCTCCCTCTCTCTCTCTCTCTCTCTCTCTCTCATGTGAAGAAGCCAAAGCCAAGAAGGCGGCTTGGACTTGTAGCTTTGCCTCCTCTCTTTCTCCATTGCTACAGAGTTTTAGATCCAAGATCTTGCACTGCATCAACAATGGAAACTGAGGCTTGCAGGCTCACCTCAAAGCTCGCATCTTTAGCACTTTCCATCGCATTCCTTGTTGTCTCCTCAAATATAACGACAACAGGCAAAGTGCCCACCTTCTCTTTTCTCTCAATTTGTTCTCCTATCTTGTCAAAATTTGATCTTTTGGATCTTTCTCGTCACTCTAGTTTGATTTAGCTGTTGAGCTGTTGAGCTGTTGATCTTGATGGGGGGAAGGATTCAGTTTTCACAAACTTTGTTCAGTCATCAAGGCTTATTGAGATTTGGCTGATGATTGTGTTCTCAAATTTGTCATTTCTGGAGCTCAGAGAGAGCTAGATTTATTTTGTTTATCAAATCCCTGAGTACTCAGTGATTTGTGTGCTGAAGTTATGAATTATTCAATATTGGTTAAAGATCCTTCTCACTCTGGAGGAAATTAGAGAGCTGGTAGATGCAAACACTATGGAATTATGACAATAGGAATAATTCATAATTGATACATGATCTAAGTTAGCTTTTGCCTGAAGGTGTTGCATTCACTGAATATGGTACAAAGCATTTCAGATTATATCGCTCTTCAGATTTGATCTTTAGATATCATACCTTATATGGATTTGGGTGTATATCTACTGATTTCACAATTTATTTTTTAACAAACGATCTCCAAAATTTCAGATAAAA